TGACCAGCTGTGAAATGATCGCACGCAAACTAGCTTGGATATGCCATAGCGTGTACTAAGAGTGAAAATTAAAAATGCCATAGCTGTACTAAGAGTGAAAATTAAAAAAAGATGTTGACTGGTGTGGCAAAATAGTAACGGATTTTCAACGAGGCATTCATGTAAAATGTGCAGATGAATATCATTCTATATCCCCGTATTATAGCTCCATTCACCTCACTGTGCATAATTTCAGCTTACTGTTTTTGTGCGCCGTAAACGCTGAACCAACGTAGACTTTGTTCAATGTTACGGTGTGACAACAAGCTTTTGGAATGTAGAGAGTCCGGTCAAATAGTTCTCCAATCCCCAGGTCAACGTGCAACGCTCAATTGTTGGCATGATAACACCTGACGGCTCACATGTAGTTATTCAATGCAAAAAGCATATGTTGATTCAGTGTTTATTGAATCAACAGGTTCACAATAATACCTCGGGAGTGCTTGAATGTGTCCCACTAGAGCCATGCTAGTATATATCCTGTTTTCTCAAACAAAGCGCAGTTCATCACTCAGCCCCAAGTAAGTTTACTCGTTGAAGCGTAGGGATATACTGCGCGTTTACGTTCCGGGATTCGTCTAAAATGATTGACTTATGTTTCATTGGTTACAACTGGACGTCCTTAGATCCAGATCAAACTGGCAGTTCCTACAAACTACTGAGGAAGCTCATCTGGGTGAGTCTAACTGCTAACAAAAAGTGTCTAATTGTCTTTTTAAACAGAGAACCACCAGAATCGCCCAATGCAGATGCTGGTTAGTCCATAAAATGAGACACTTCGAAGAGACGGGGAAAATTCCATCTACGTCGATGCCCATATGTGGGTGTCTGCTTTGCTATTATACAACTAAGCTACGGATCCCTAGTTTCCAACAGCTTCGGTCGTGTTCACAGCTTAAGACCTAGCGCTGATAAGGTGATTTAAGGCTATGGCACTTCAACGATCCTCCAAGCTACACTTGTTTAAAGCTCAGTTCCTTATGATCCACCACCGCCAGAAATCCTAACGTGGAACGGTTGAAAGTTTAGTAATTTCTCTCACCATGAGATAGTTGTGTGATGGTATGAAGTATGAGTGTTTCCTCCTGATAGTCAACCAGCGACTTTAAATACAAGACTGTTAGGGTATCGAATTCCCCAGAAAAAGGACAGAGAGGGAGAGAGACAGAGAAAGGAAGAGGTCGGCCACAAATACAACATGTACCGATTGCTCAAGCTTAGCATTGATGCCAGCTGATCGTCCGTTATAAGTGAAAGTACTGGGTCGGCCACAGATACAACATGTACCGATTGCTCAAGCTGATCGTCCGTTATAAGTGAAAGTACTGTTCGCCATCCAAAAGCTACAGTCCCGTATTATGTGAATTCATTGGTTGGCTGAGATTTAGCAGTTTCTTCCGGTATATGAAGTCTCGCCGTCACTCTCTAGCGCACTCATCGCATTGTGGCAAATTTCATCACTGATGGAATATTTCAGATTTCTTGACATCCATATTCATGCATGCTCGGTATTCCATACGTGCATTCGACTTCGGAACTCTTGCTAGGAAAATGCCACAAGTTAACACGTATCTAACGTATCAGTCAGTCGCGATTCAGCCAACAATGGGTCCCGTAACTAGTCCCTTTAAAACTACACGAAAATTGTTAATATCACATTGTATCTTGTAGGAGGGACGCAAGGTTATTGGATAGACAACTGGTGGATTTGGACGAAAATTTTTGATAGCTTTTTGACCAAAATACCGAGAGATGAGAATTTTGATTCCCTCAGCTTTTTCAGCTATATTTCGGCAGCCACAGTCAAACTATCGATCATATCCCAACAGGGTGTGCGCCTAGTGTCACTTTACCACATTCGAGAAATTAATCGGCATACAAATTACTTTTGTTAGTATACGGCTTTCTTCTTTGCGTAAACAGCTCATCTAGAGTTTTATGGTATTTCATAGCACAATTGAGCAATGCTTGGGTTGCGCGAACATCCCCAGCACTTGACCGTAGCTCAAACCTGAGCGATCTAACGGAAATTGTATCCATCAAGGCCTCGGAAAAAGCAGTTCGTGGTGAGAGCGGCTGCTCTTCAGGAGAATTTACTAGAGAGGAAGATAATCATTGGTTGATTGTACAACAGTCGGAGCACTTTAACTCTAATTGCTTCATCACGAATTTCACTATCCTGATCTTTCACGGCAACACTAAGCTTCAGTATTTCTTAAGGACTTGAATGATGTGAACCTAAGAGAAAATGAAGTAAACGAACGATATCACATGTCAATCTCCGAGGGCTTTTGTGATCTGTGGAGAATCTCACTGGCGATGTAATTCTACGATGACTGTTAAGTCATGTTCTCTCGAAAATTTATACATACCACATCCTCTTCAGGACATTCTGGGAGTAAGCTCCTTGATACCCAGTTCTTCAAATCAGGAGTTTGACGTATAATCATAAAATCATGGTTTCCACTTTTTTTTCTCGAATTTTCTCTAGTAACGTTTCCGTGGATACTTTGAAACGTCAACATTTACAAATGCAATAGCTACTCACTTTATTTTAATTTTAGTAGTCACAATGAAACAACAAGATGTTTGTACACATTTGGAGATTAGTAAGGACTAAAGAACTAGCTACTAACAAAGAGCACGGGTATTATCCACTGAAAAAAATATATACTTTAGCACTGAGTAGACCTTTGCGGAGCTATATAAACTTAAGAATATAAGTTTACAGATGTTGGTAGAAAACAAGATGCAGGTTGGCAAGATAAATATTGGCGACTTTGCTCATCCTAACAAGCAACAAATTTTGGTATCATTTCTAATATCTAGGACATAAAATACTCTGCAAACAGCAGAGTTGATTGGTTTGCGCTACAGAGGGTGTCACTGTGATCGCAAAAGAAGACAAAAATTTCAGTGACAAAGATGGCAACATTTTTTAGTACTTGTTCAGTTGCTGAATGGTTTAACCAGCAAACGACATTTCATTATCAATGTGAGGAGTCAGTAGGGTAAAGTCACATTCATCCGGAATCGAACATCAAGAGGATTAATGAGAGACGTGCTGGATGGATTTGCCCAAGGAAAACAAACGCTAATTTCCTGCGCCGTCTGCATCCTTGATTACCCGTCGTTTGTGTATGGCCTGGTGAGTGTGTGGATCCAGAACTACTCGGTGTGTCCACGCACATACATTCACGCACAAACATACACAAAAACGCAGATTGCATGCAGCAGTTTGTAGAAAAAAACGGAATATAGTTAATGAATTCAAACAATTGACACGTTTTTACAAATTGATGACTGCCAGTACAGTGTTGGTTTGCATCGCATTATTTCTACCCGTTTGTTCGAATGTGGCTGGATGGGGGAGAATAGTTGGTGAGGGCCGAACTATTCATCAAACGCCTTGGGAGAAGCTGCTTGCATTCTACAACGAACTTAACTAGATGACAGCCAAATCCCCGACGGTTCTCCACCGGATCTCGTAGGAACGTGTCATCAACAATTCAAAATATGTCATAGATGTTTTTGACAGACACGAGGACACTAGATAATCGCGAACGATGGCTCTAATCCTAGTGGTAATCCGTTCACACCTGGATGCGTTTTCCATCGATCCAAAGGACAGCAAACAAGAAGAAGAACGAATCAAGCATACCGAAACCCTTCCCACCAGAGCTTGGGCAAATCAGGCGCAGAGTTTGTGAGAGAACAAGAATTTCAAGTACCTAACCAATACTGTTCATTGCGAAAAAAGAAGGGGGGGCGAGGAAAGGGGTACAAATTACGTGAGAATTAACCTTAAATGTTTCCTAAACGCTACCAAACTACCCAACGTAGTTTACTGAATTAGGAAAGTAGTAAGTTTGTACGAAAGGTTTCTTCATAATTACACTTTCGTTTGCGCTTGTGACCATTCCGTCATTTTTATGCGTAAGCACCGAGGATTTACGTGATAACATTGATATCTCAGACGACCGGTCACTGAGGATTTACGTGATAACATTGATATCTCAGACGACCGGTCACACTTACTGCCCTATGACATTTCGACTCAGTCATTGTCAAGCTCAACTTTGTTTTGGCTTCGCAGTCTTACCTAGTCGACCGCATTAGGTCACCGCAAACGCGAATCAAGTGTTTTCAACTGCCTAGCTCAGTAAGTGTCTGAACAAACAGCAATATTAAATGAACAGAAGAAAATCTTGGGGGTCGCTCTGCCAGCTGAATACGCTGTAACATTCTGACAAATGTCGCTTGTTTCGAGCTCTTGAACCCAGGGTTAGTGCGCGCTCAGCAAAAGGCAACCTAGTAATAGCGACCGGTTCTTCACACAGTTTGATTTTGAACTTTTAAATCATGTAATCTTGTAGATAAAACTCAGTAAGGTTAAATATATTCTCGCTGGTTCAAACAGTGATTCTGTCACAGCTGGATAAAATACGGAGCAGCTCGTCTTCCAGTTACGCTATTCAGGTCATGTACGTCGTGCAACCGAGATAAGTTTTTCATAGGCTCATACGGGAAAATTATAAGTCAGCAGTTCCTGAAAAACAAAAGAGGTCTTTAAACCATGACTCTATGTTTTGACGGGTTTCTGTCTACTTTAAGAACCTAGAAACAGAGACCAAGCAAACTGTGACTTCCTCAAGGTGTCTGACAACATAATTCGCCCCTCCTAAACAGAGAGGAGAGATTTGTTCTACAAAGGCCTTTGTTCCTCAGGATAAACAAAACAACGCAACATTTCGTAATAAACCTGTGGTACAACATATAATTCTCTTTATTAGGATTCCCGCGTGAAGGAAGTCGTTTTTCCTCGAAACCTATTTTGACTGGCTTGCAGATTATCCAGTGCTGTTCCACTTATCCACGTAAGAAGATTTCACAGTAGTTATCACGCACACCAAACACCTTTAACAGAATCCATACCATATATGTTATGCAATGCAGCGTACCTGGATTCAAGTATGTTTTGTACGCCAGTCCAATTGTTCGCAACCCGTCGCTTGCCATTGGTTCAATCACCTCTCGCACAAGAGCTTCCTGGTGTGACTGAGTGAACGGTTGTGGTTCTCCATTCTTGTCCAAAATAAATGTACACCTGTGGAACATTGGGTGAAAAGATGAGGAACCGATGAAGGTATTCGTTCTAGAAAAGGCCGTGACTATAACAATAGATGAACGTACTCCGCATGATAAATCGAACTCAAGACGAGGATGTTTATGGTACGAAAATGCAGATGCCCCAATGTTCAGCAGAGACAGTTTTAGCCCCAGTCCTCGCGGTGAATTTTCCTGCACTTATAAAAAAATAAAGCCTAAAAGACACCAATTCACATATCAACTAATTTTTACGGAGGATTTTGCCAGATCTCTCGTTTATGATATTCTTCAACTGTGCTGCACAAAGTACGCCTCATGTAACAGTTGGTACGTTATTTGCAGAATATTTTCAACAACGAAAGAACTCACAAGTTTTCTGAAAACTCACCGACAAATTCTCCGGCTCAAACAAGTGTATTTGTTGAGATCTGTTTATTTTGGGTTAAATTAGAACGTACGTTCGACGGAAACCCGGGACTGTGCCTATTTGATAAGACCTGAGAAGGTTAACTCTTGTGAATAATTATCTTTATGAAAATAAAGATAGTGTTGCGATCAAAATTCATTTGTTTCTCACCGGATAGGATCTGTTTTCATCTTCGATTCTACAAAACGAAATTATTTCAGCCAGGGGGAGATTTTTCCATGTGATGTCAAACACAGAGAAGAATGGACAGCCTCTCTTGGCCTAGATAATTCACGTTGCATCTGGAAAAGTGTCAGAAGTATTGCAACGTTTGTCGACCTCATCATAAAGGCTTCTTTAAGTGAAATGGAACCACCAGAAAAGAAGGTTAATTACAATTCAAAATAGTCCACGGATCACAATGACTGCCAGGATGATATCATTTTGAAGAAATCACCTACAGCATATGAGCAATAGTTCAAGTAATTGGGATAAAAGTGTTAACCTTGGTTCACATAGCACATTGCTTATTTTCGCTTCGGTGACTCGAGTTTGAGGCTCCGAGTGGGCGCATTCGAAACGACTGCGGGTCTCAATCTTGAAAATCGCGCCATCGTATGACAAGTCAACTGAGTAAAAAGCAAACAATCGTGTCAACTAAAACATTAGGCGGCCTGTGCGCAGCACATTCAGTTGTAGAATATCACAAACAAGAGATTTAGTCGAGTCTCTTCTGAAAACCAAATTGATTTGCAGACGAGTGTATTTCTCAAAAACAGTCCAATTTGGTTTGAAGTAGAACATGAAGTTGACGGAAACTCGGGGACTGCGCCTACCTGATGAGCCCCAAGAAGGGCGAAGCCGGTCTAAGTGGACTATCAAAGAGTTTTCAGCAACCTTGTGAGTAGTTTCCTTTATCAAACTATCACTTATTTTACCTAGTGGAATTTATCCTATCAGTTTACGTTCTTCATTGCCCATTTGTAGCGCGAAATTGAAAATTTCTTCCCACTATGCAAATTATGATTTTTTTCCACTTGCCTGGGAGTTGCAAAATTATATGTCAAGGGACATTTGGCTCAGTATGAAACCAGACAAACTCTAATTTCATGAGGTAGTCAACATGGTGTCATCCGTCGGAACGATCTTAGATAAAAGGAAATTGGTAGTTTGCTCAAAGAAATGCCTACCAGCAGCAAACATACCCGCTGTACTACACTTCAATGGTCCTATAACACATATATGAACACAACGGCAATTCCAGGGTTTCGTTGGATCATTTTCATGATTGAGGCATAAACGAATGAGGTTATTAGATTTAAAGCAGAAATAGATTGAACAGGTGTTCTTTAAATTGCTAACTTTTAGTACTATCATGAATCATCACAACTTCTTCTGACGTAATCCGGATCGAAATTTTTCATGCAGGTCTCCCATACACACAACCAAGCGCTGCTCTATAAGCAGATTAAGATTGTGCTCTGTTGATTTAGGTTCAATGTTTACTCGAAGTATGACAGCAAACCGGAAACCTTAACTCTCAGACAGCAGGCAAACCCACAAGAACGCCATATCCCGGAAATTTTCTAGGGAGAACAGAGCAAGACGAATGGATCCAAGCACAACAACCTATCAAAACACATTATCATCTGACAGTAAAACACATCCGAGGGAATGGAAAAAGTTGTAGGGGTTGTTTGCCTGAATCAGGTTTTATTTGGGTTTTAATTGGATCAATTGAACAGACTGCATAGACGTTTCCCCCTCGCCTTTCTGCCAGCTGGATTGTTTACTACCGAAAGAACCTCACTGTTTCGATAAACTTTCCATGAGTTAGGGTTGAATCTACACACTCAGCAAGCTGTGGTAGTAGGTAACGGTCTGAAATCAGTGTCTCATTTTGTGCAAAGCTTCACTCAACACACTTATAGCAGAAATTGCCTAGCGTGAATGCCTAAGTCGCGATATCGTCTGAACAAAGTGGAATTCGTCTTAAAATTACAAGGATAATCTAGGTATGTGGAACAGAGTATCATGGGGTTAGTTCTCTGCGCTGTCATATCACACCCAATTCACGTAGTTGAATGCAATCTTTCGTGTACGTATGGTACTCTTAGCCTGACATTTATCTCCGAATGATTTGATAAGATATGGTGCATGCTGTGAAGTGATCACTGGATATTCATTTTTGACATTACCTTAGTGATGGATGACCCGTAAACTGACTTTGTGTCTAAAACATTGACCAAAACATTGACAGTCATAAGTGAATACCATTACTTCTTGCTTACGTCATCCGTTTGTTATGTGGACCAATGAGTACAGGTTCATTTTATCCAACAAAATGTCTACTTTGCTAACTTTTTCAGACCAACGTACCCAAAGTCTGGAAGTAAAAACACATAAAACACAAAACGATCAAGAAATCCATCTTTTGTTTAACACTCAGACGTGCATGATGGCTTTTGTTCTAGGCAGTTGCATTTTAAAAATGTTCAGCGGAGCTTTTGGGAAACAATATTAAATACACAACTACCATTGAGGAACGGTGTCAGGATTTTCTTCTTTTCTGAGGTGAAGAATGAGTAAGATGTTGGAGGTTTTTGTTGAATCCCAGAAATGGAAGTACCACTCACTTTTTTAACACCATTTCTGACGCTCCCTTCGTGAACACTGTGATGCCAGGGCGACTTGGCTCCAAATCTTTTATTATTGTACTCATAGATTTTCTCACAGAATTGAAAGTGTAAACTTTCAATAGCGATTCTTGTGGCCATTTCTCTCGAATATCCTCGTAGTTCACACCAAGGTGGCGGACAAATCCAAGTAGAGCACATTCGGTTTTGTTACCCAGCTGTTGTGGCAATTCACTGGACTTTGCCGGGACCTGGCATTAGAATATATATTAATAAGGACTGCAATAACTGATCATCCCTGAAAAAGACTAGGATTCTCAAGAAATAGCTTTTCGTTGGCACTAGAAGTGAGGGTCAATAGAAAAGTGTATCATGTTTTCCTTTGCGTCAGATGCCTGAGGTCTAAAACGTTCAGATATTTATCGAAAACAGATAAACACATATTAAGTTAATTCCAAGTGAAGTGCCCGTTCATCTGCCAAGGCTGGTTTGTTTGCAAAAAGCAGTCGTATCCTTTCGACCTTACCTTTACTTCACTTCTCGCATGAGTAAGAAGAATTTGGATCTGCGGGTACTGTTGTGGTAGACAAAAGTTAACTCATGTCCGTAGGAGAAAAGAAGTGATCAAAATCCACTAATAAGGGAGGTCGAGTTACATTTTAAGGTTGTTGCATCTGAAAGCAAATTTTGAAAGCAAACCAGAACAAATTGTCACTGACAGGTTAGTTTTGGTGAAAAGCTCCACATGGCCTAGTCTTTTCTGTTCCACTACTTTAGTCTATCTATGCTTGTTGGCGGTGCGATTTGATATAATGAAGTAAAACTTCATCCAGAAGTTTTCCGTTTTCACCTAAAGCATCCTCCATAAGAAGACGTAGGGATTCCCCAGAACCATCTGGTTCGTGTAAACCTTTGTGTTGAGATGTGCTGGCCCATTGTCAATAGGGGTCAGCTACGGTTATTTGTGAACTAGACTGATGTGAATTTATAAACCAGTGATCTCTAGCCGGGTAAGTACGGAAAGTTAAGCACTACTGTAGCCTGCTTTCAAAGAAGTCGACTAGATCTGCTGGACGCCATAACATTGCAACCTAATAGTAAGTCACAGATTCATTATGGGTGCAATTAAGTGAGAAACTATGCAAAAACCACAGAATAATATGTGGCTTATTTGCACAGGTTAAAAAGTGTCTGAATTTACCAAACAAAACCAATGAACACTACAGCTGAGGCAATTAAGTCGGATATTCTTTTATGGATCGAAACAGAACTAGAATGAACTGCAATGCTGGTGATTTGGCTTAGCTGTTTTTATGTGTACCATCGGCGAGTGTACGTAGAAAATATCTTATTGAAGTGGACTTGGGATGCTTGAAAGTAGACTCTAAACAAAATAATCCTGAATAAATCCTCGTCAAAAAGTTTATCATACAAGCCATTTTTTACAACTTTAGCCTGTTCATAGACACCGGAATTTTCCGACGAAAATTTACTCCGTCACTTCCAACCAGTCGGTGACCACCAAATAGAGTGCGATTTCGCAAAGAGGATAAGGGGAAATGATATGTTTTAAATGAAAAACAAGGCGAAAAAATTGCTTACACCTTTACAACTAACGAAAAAAATAGCTGTCGACTCACTGCGATACGTGATGTGTAGCTACTGTTGATTGCCACACTGTGCACAAGACGATGTCCAACACGGTGATGCAGATCATTGAGGCGAGGGAGTTCCGCCTCACGTTGCGTAAATCGCCCACCCAGATAGCACTGTACAACCGTCATGCGATTCGTTGTCAGAGTTCCAGTTTTGTCCGAACAAATAGCTGTTGCGTTTCCCATTGTTTCGCATGCGTCCAAATGACGGACCAAATTATTGTCCTGGATTAGGAAGAGTAAGGGTTTGCAAGTGACACTGATGGGATGAAGTGTGCAAAACTGCATAAAACTGGAAATGCTAACTGACGGATGGTAATTTTGCACACGTTTATCCACCTCCGAGCAATAAGGTTGTGTGATGCGCAAACATGTTTCCGTAAAATATTTCGATGCATCCCCAGAGTTTCTATCTGAACTCAGTATCTATTCTCACCGTTTATGGCGAAAGGGTAACTTGAAGCAAATACAAGAAAATCAGGTCAGGTTTTAAAAATACCCCGTTCATTGAACTAGATCACGATAACCAAATCAGTGGAAAAAGGACCCACTAAGAGAAAACATTTAATTTTGTCGCGTACCTAACGAAACTCAAGCGGAGCTTACGGAATTTGGCCGAAAAACCGGTTACCTTTTAGGTACGAGTGGTTTTTGCAAATGGGATAAGAGCATACCTACACATGCTGAAGCACATGTGCATTCCGGATGCTATGCGTGGGCCGCACTATTTACTTTGTTATTCGAGCAGCAACAGACGAAGCTTAAGCGATCTGTTCGTGCCACCGCTGTTCTAAAAGTTCTTTGCTTCTCTTGTGAGACTGCTTGCTTTTTTTCACTCACCCAGTTGCTAGGACTTCAGCTTTGAGACAAGTAGGCACTACGTACATATCATAAAGAAGTGCCAGCCAGACTTACCAGTTTTCCCCCTTGATTAGCAATGTTTAATTGGGAAGTGTGTTGAGACCCCCTTTGTCGTAGTAATTGGCTGTCTGCAGTAATATTCCAAGTCACTGATGACATTCGTGGTCATATGCGCACAAAATAACTGCATTATTTTGCGGGAGCACTGCAAATCATCCGTAATGTCTATGTTTGAACAATTGCTATTGTACTAAACAGTTCTTGGGTTCGTACTTTTTGGGCGTCAAGAAATACTAAAAACTTTGGACAGTGCAAATACCTGTCGGTCTTAAATTTGCACAATCCCGGTAGAAAAACGTGAGCTAATGGATATAGGAAAAAAGATTTCTGACATGAAAAGAGCCAATATTTAGGCAACATTGAGTAATGACATCTTCAAGAGACCTAGCACTAAAAATACAGCGAAGCGAAATGTTCTTCCGTTGAGTCACTTTGAAACCGCAAAATCAAAGAACCGTTTTTATAATACGGGTTTGTCAAACAGTTCTTTAGTAGTTTATTCCATTACCCGTAGGTGTGCGGCAAAATATTCTCGTCCTGTGAACGTTTAAACAGATTTAGTGCAGAGAATTGAAGGAGGAAGGCACAAACGTCCAATGCCTCCTTCCAAGTGTGCATTACCCACATTTACAAATACGTTTTAAAACTATTTTTGTACACCTCCGAGAACATAAGATTTGATATACGGAATATGCTGCGGACCATCAAGAAAAAAATGTTTCCATAAACAATTTCTTGCGCATTATTTCACTCTATAGCTGGAGAAAATCTCGGTGGATTTTTCAGAAAATATGCACAAGAAAACTGTTGTTCAGACTTAAAATCTAAGCGTGACTGTGGGAACCGACTTTTAAGTGTGACTTAACAAGCCTAGATTAGAGACAGGCGCATAAATTAGATGTTCGTTTACTTGATAGAATGTTGTGCACATCTACCCAGGATAACTTTATTGAAGTTTTGTCGCCAAACAGTTGCATTTTCAGTTGAAAAATATGAATCCCAAGGAGTAAAACTTGCCAAAGTTTGATAAGGCAGAGAATGCCATTAACCATTAACAAGTTGTTCCGCTGCTGGGCGAGTTGCTCGCACAGCTTGGGGATTTCGTCGTAGACGTCTCCTTTCCTATTGAGGAGCCGTCCCCAGCGCATTGTTGTGAAGTTGAGCGGAGCTGTGCGCAGAAGACTGAGCTGACTAGCGGTATGCATGATTTCTATACGTGGTCTCGAGAGTTGTGTGACCTTTACTTACGAATGGCTGCACCGGTAAAAAACTTTTTTGACTGTGTAAACCCTTAGTGTTCTCTTGTCCGATCCCCACAGAAATCAGAGCGTCACCTCTGTTTTCTCAAGTTATAAACTTGATCAGCTTAGGTCTGCGTGTTAGACTGTCATCCACTCCGTTTGACACCTGGATGCGTTCGGCTGAATGAGTTTTTAGTCTCCTGCCCACAGAGGAGCATCGACCAGCTCACTATCTCAGGTGGTAAAGTTTATTATATAGAAAGATGGCATCAGAAATCCCCTTGTGCGTTTGAACCTCCAAGATCCACAGTATTACATATTAAAATGGTTGCTTTCCAATTCTTCTTGAATGGCCACTTTCTGTTCTGCGGTTGGTGCGCGCAGGACAGCATAATCCTGAATTGTGGACCGCGTGACCTCCAATGTCTTCGGTTGGATACACTGCAAGATATGGCTTCTAACCGATGTCAGTGGCGATCTTGCTGTCAGTTTCGATCCAGATTGTCCGAATGGGTGTTTGGAGGAGTAGGAACCTTAGAATGATTGAAGTAGGTTGCACCAGTTCCCTTCTTTGTTCATCTTTATCCACAATAAGGCTTTGTACGGCAGCAAAGCATAAGTGCTTTACATTGATATCATGCTGTCCATGATGATGATGGACACAGCTTTCTTTTGGTTTGTTTGGTATAAGTGTAGTTGCATTCATTGCAGTGCATATAGTGGGCGATATTGTTTTATTTTAGTTGTATTGTTTTATCTTTTAGTCAGTGAATTAATATTCTCGGGGTAGCATCCAATTTATGTGGCACCGGAATTTCATACAACTGTAATATTCTGACAGGTAGTTGAAGCACATCCTTGATTAAGAGCAACACAATTTATCCAATTGTCTCTAGTTGTTCTTCTTGTCGTTTTGATGTGTGTTTTATTAAGTTTTATGATAACATTCTTCTTTTTCTCGTTGCTTTGTAATTTTTGGTATGATTGGCGTTCTTCATCGCTGTTCCCAATTCAGTCTTTCTGCATTGTCCACCTCGTCTATTGAATAGGCTGTCAATACAACTTCTTGTGTGATTCTTCGGGTGGTTGTGGTGCTGGCCTCATTGATGATGTCTATGAGTTTTCTTGCATTCAGTCGGTGGGCTTCTTAACCAGTCTTGATACTGGTGATCCCGGGGTACTCCTTTCGTTTGTTGACATCAAGTCCACTAACCTTAAGACATACAGTCATGTATTGAACCCACAGTCTCATAAAGCTTTCCGGTTCCATGGTTTCTATTTGTTGACCTATTAGCGAAGGAGGTTCGTCATCCCTTCTCTGATAGGCTTGTGTTTACCCAATTAGTGCGGGCCAGTGACATTCCCAGTACTGTTGAAGAACCGTCTAGAAATGTTGGCATTGTGTTCAAGTCCAGAAATCCGATGATACAACACTATTCAAAGGTGTTCTGTCACTTTATACACAGGAGCTCCTGAGTTATAGGAGAAGGGTACATCTCCGCGGAACCTAGAAAATCTCACAGTTCTGCGATGCTGGTATCATCCTCCTTTGTATTTTACCTTTCTTGATCAGTTATCGTGCATCAAACTTGCAGTCTTCCGTGTTATGTGGGCTAATAGCTGTTTGTAGTTGGGTTCATCAAGGATGATAGTAAGCTATTCCGAGTCTTGTAAAAGTATTACAATGAGGTTCCTTCGTTTTGTAGTTTTCTCAGTATTTCTTATGTGCCATTGGAGTTACCACTGAAAAAGATACTGGTCAAGCGTGTTAACGAAACACATTTGATAGCCTATCAACTCGTAAGAATTTTCTAGGCGGTCCCAGTAATTTATATGAGTGAGTCAACGATTTAGAAGTTGCGGAAATTGATTGATATGACCACTTTACCTGCGCTGAGAGGGTGGTTGGATAGTTGTTTTTTAATGAACACCCGCTGCTAATCCAATCATTCTTTTTGAAGAGATCGCCAAAGTTTACGTTAAGCATATCATTAGAAGTTGTGGTCCCTGATCTACCACAAAACTAATCTGCACGACTGATTAGTGGTTAGGAAAACAGATATCGAAATGAGGTTGGCTAGAATGCTGGACAAGAATGTCTTATGGTCAAACCTTTGATATTTTTACCTTTTGTAGGCTTAGCTGTTCTAATTTGAGTGAGTTGTTGAGTTAGAGCTTTCTCACTGTACAAAACAATTATGACATCACCGTTTGGGTGGTGTGAAATGGAAGAATAATTAAGAAACAACAAGCGGCTAAATACCTCTTTCTGACAGCTCTATCACTTAGATCGACTAGATTTACACTTTGAAAGGATTTGGCGTACTTGCTGAATGTATGCGCATCTATGGCATGGACATGTTAACCTGAGCGATGCACACCCATTCCATTGAGTAAACATCGTGTTGCATAGCGCCTGATGTCATTCACTCTGTGATCAGATGCTGGACGGAATCCCAGCCTCAGATTTTTGTAATGATTGTAATGAATTTGTCGGTTTTTCACATTGTGCACTTCTGTTATGGTTATTCAATTAGTAATTAAATGTTTTACAAGGGCACAGAATATGCCGTCAAGTTTGAAGGTTTTCCAATGAAATTTTGTTCGCTCATGGACGAAGCGTAACGCTATTCTTTTGAAGTATCCCAAGAAAAATACTATTTTACTTGGTAGACTTTTTAACTTTATCTAAGCCAAAAGAATTGGTGTCTACAAGCAATAACAAAAGCAAAGACGGTAGGGATGGATGAGTGAACATACAATTACTGGTCCGTCGGATTTGCATGCGGCCATAAAAAACCAAGCTTCGTGAGTAATTTTGATTTTCTGCGAGTGGTCATAGTAAAAGACTAGACTAGATGATACGGTAAAGTTTAGGTTGGATTACAGTTAATCGATGAATCAGGTTTTTGTTTTTTTCAACCAGTCTAATCAATCTTAGAGTGTGCTGAAAGATTGCTTTTGTGAATGAAATTGTGATGAGATATTTAGATAACCTTACTTAAGTTAAAGCTCAAAAAATGACATTTTGGCATGTTAAAAGAGTTTACATATGTGACACGA